AAGTAGGTGAGCTTATGGTGGCCATTGAATATTCCGTGATAAAGGGGATATTATTGATTGATTAAATAGCTGGAAAAGGGTAGTTATACAAAATACGTGCATGCTACAATTGAAACTTGAACAACTGCCACAAGTTGCTGAAATTCATAATTAACTTATACTCGTATAATTTATGGCTCTCATAATCTGCCTAAATCCGTGTACAATTTACAAATATTTATGAGGCGATTATCGCCGGGCAATCCAAATGAATTACACAGCTGTGCCGCACTGTACGTGCCAGTGTGCAATGAAGCAATCATTTTAATGGTGCGATTAAACTTTCATCAGTTCTACTCATCGTACAAAATCAAATTAAAGTGCGGCGCATCGAAAGGCGAGAGATGTTTATCAATTATTTCAGATACATCTGTGAATGAGTTTTTCTGCTGACTCAGTCTTATTGGGTTTTCCCGCACATCTTTCTCCTTCAATTTTTTGTTTGGATTTTTCGTTTGACTGACAAATCAATCAATAGCCAATGGACGATATATTTATAGAATATCCCATTAAGGGAGGCCCATAAACAATTGAATTCATTTGCGGCCCCAAATTGCTATTGCATTTTCCGCCAAGAGAAGGAAATTTTAACCCAATTTGTAGCAAGAAATTCCCCCTTCCCTTCTCCGTCCGCCCTTTTTGTATCTCCGCTCGTACTTGTATTTTTAGCCAGTGGCGTTCGAGAGGGTTGTAAAATGTGCCCCGTAAAATGTACTTTCTATTCAGCTTAAAGTGATGAACACCAACATGGTATGAGTGCTGATATTTTCATAGATCTTTGGCAGCACTTTGCACCATGATCTTTGCAATGGTCGCTTGTTCTAGCAGCTCCATTGCCCCCGCCCGCATCACCCCCTTGGCAAACTCCTGCGTACGCCCCTGTCTTGCACAGTATCTGTATCTATGGCATTCCGACTGGCACGGACTCCTCGGATATGGGCTATGGGCTACTGGGCCCCAACTATTATTAGCGGCACGCTCGACATGCAAACGTATAATGGATTCGGATATATACGAGTATTCTGAGTGTGTGTGTGTGTGTGTGTGTGTGTGTGTGTGTGTGTGTGTGTGTGTGTGTGTGGTATGTGCATGCACATGTGGGCCATACCATACAATGTCGGGAATGTAGGATATATACGGAGGTATATATGGTCAGGCTAGGCCTGCCAGTCATCCAGCTAAATTCATTGCTCTGCAGGTGTTCACATTTTCACATTTTTCGTCCAGCTCCACGAAATGTCCTTTTGTTCTATTCCAGCGCTGGCCCGAAAAGAACACTGTGAGAAAATGCAGGCACTTGCTGATATCTATCACAGATTCTCTAGTACTTATGCTTTCTTTACGTCTTTGGCAGGTTGAATATTTAATTAATACATGGGTAAAATTTAAATAAAAAGGGGAATTACAAACTGCATTTGCAGTTGGTTACTTTGATTTTTTTCGAGTATATCTCCGCAAGCAGCGCTTGAATAATTTACAATACTGGTTCGTATTTATAGGTGAATTATTGATATTCATTTGTTACGTTTTTTCAGATTTGTTTCAAATATTTCGTTCGCTTTTCCGAGGTTTTTCCACAGACCTTCTCCTTTCTTGTTCCGCATGTGTGACTTGCGGTCAACGAGCTTTCCCGCATTTCCCGCTTTTCCCCGGCTTTGAAGCTTTTGTGGCTTATCAGTTCTTTGTCAACGAGGTATACAACTACTGGCAAATAGTTTTCCCGGAAAGCTCGGCCACAGCTTTCGAACCCGTCCTTCATTTCATTTTACATTTTCTTTATGGGTTCTTAAGCCGCTCCTTTGTCTTTTTCATGCATTCAATGCACGTGCCCCGATTCCTGTCATTTGCTTTTGACTTTCTGACTTCTGCTTTTTTACCTTTTACCTTGGCTTTAACTTTGTTGCAGATAAGCTGATTGTTTAATATCCAAAATGGGTTTGCTTGCTTTAATGCCACTTACCTAAAAGTGCTGCATCTGCGTATTCTTGGAAAATAAGAATAGGAGCATTTGGCCAAAATGCGTATTTCTTAGCGGCTTTTTTTCCTTTATCTTGGCCAAATTAAGACGCTCAGCCAAAATAGCCACTTTTTCATGCTGCAGACAACCTAAGCTTCTGCCCAAGTTACTTTTTGAGGGCTTTCGAAGTTTTAATTTAATTCCCCAAATTTTCTCATTTTTGTTAAGTGGTCATCATTCAAATTTGAAGAAAATGCTAAAAAAATGTATTTACAACTTGTAATGCAAATCGATTGGGAAATTAATAACGAACTCAACCAGGTATTTGGACCACTATTTTCGATGTTTTGGCTTAAAATCGTATTATTTTTGAACGAAAAATCTGCATTTATATTTTCGGTAAATTCAAAATTTTGGCATTATTAAAAATTGCAAAAAATGACAAAAAAATAGAGTTTCCATTTTTGAACGCAGTTCGATTGGAAATTTAATTACGAGCTCAGCGAGGTATTACATTTCATATTCAGACAATTATTTTGAAAGTTGTGGCAAAAAAACTGATTATATTATGACGGAAAATCGGAAAAAGGACTTTTGCCAAATATTCGATATTTGCGATGAGAGTTTTCATCATAACTTCGGTAAAAATGATCGAAAAGATGAAAGAATAACATTTTTGAGCAGCTAATTACCAAGGCTAACCATCCCTATCACTTTTTGGTGGACTTAGAAAAAAAAATTTTTTTTCGAATTTTTGCGTTTTTTGTAAGGGGTAACATCATGAAAATTTGCAAAAAATGGCTAAAAAATAGCGTTCCCATTTTTTAACACAGTTCGATTGGAAATTTAATTACGAATTCAACGAGGTATTACATTTCATATTCAGACAATTATTTTGAAAGTTGTGGTCAAAAAACGGATTATATTATGACGGAAAATCCGAAAAACAACTTTTGCATCATCAAAATTTGCAAAAAATGACAAAAAAATAGAGTTTCCATTTTTGAACGCAGTTCGATTGGAAATTTAATTACGAGCTCAGCGAGGTATTACATTTCATATTCAGACAATTATTTTGAAAGTTGTGGCAAAAAAACTGATTATATTATGACGGAAAATCGGAAAAAGGACTTTTGCCAAATATTCGATATTTGCGATGAGAGTTTTCATCATAACTTCGGTAAAAATGATCGAAAAGATGAAAGAATAACATTTTTGAGCAGCTAATTACCAAGGCTAACCATCCCTATCACTTTTTGGTGGACTTAGAAAAAAAAATTTTTTTTCGAATTTTTGCGTTTTTTGTAAGGGGTAACATCATGAAAATTTGCAAAAAATGGCTAAAAAATAGCGTTCCCATTTTTTAACACAGTTCGATTGGAAATTTAATTACGAATTCAACGAGGTATTACATTTCATATTCAGACAATTATTTTGAAAGTTGTGGTCAAAAAACGGATTATATTATGACGGAAAATCCGAAAAACAACTTTTGCATCATCAAAATTTGCAAAAAATAGCAAAAAAATAGAGTTTTCATTTTTGAACGCAGTTCGATTGAAAATTTAATTACGAGCTCAGCGAGGTATTACATTTCATATTCAGACAATTATTTTGAAAGTTGTGGCAAAAAAACGGATTATATTATGACGGAAAATTCGAAAAACGACTTTTGCCAAATATTCGATATTTGCGATGGGAGTTTTCATCATAACTTCGGTAAAAATGATCGAAAAGATGAAAGAATAACATTTTTGAGCAGCTAATTACCAAGGCTAACCATCCCTATCACTTTTTGGTGGACTTAGAAAAAAAAAATTTTTTTCGAATTTTTGCGTTTTTTGTAAGGGGTAACATCATCAAAATTTGCAAAAAATGGCAAAAAAATAGAGTTTCCATTTTTGAACGCAGTTCGATTGGAAATTTAATTACGAGGTCAGCGAGGTATTACATTTCATATTCAGACAATTATTTTGAAAGTTGTAGTCAAAAAACGGATTATTTTATGACGGGAAATCCGAAAAACGACTTTTGGCAAATGTTCGATATTTGCGATGAGAGTTTTCATCATAACTTCGGTAAAAATGATCGAAAAGATGAAAGAATAACATTTTTGAGCAGCTAATTACCAAGGCTAACCATCTTTATCACTTTTTGGTGGACTTAGAAAAAAAATTTTTTTTTTGAATTTTTGCGTTTTTTGTAAGGGGTAACATCATCAAAATTTGCAAAAAATGGCTAAAAAATAGCGTTCCCATTTTTGAACGCAGTTCGATTGAAAATTTAATTACGAGCTCAGCGAGGTATTACATTTCGTATTCAGACAATTATTTTGAAAGTTGTGGCAAAAAAACTGATTATATTATGACGGAAAATTCGAAATACGACTTTTGCATCATCAAAATTTGCAAAAAATAGCAAAAAAAAATAGAGTTTCCATTTTTGAACGCAGTTCGATTGAAAATTTAATTACGAGCTCAGCGAGGTATTACATTTCATATTCAGACAATTATTTTGAAAGTTGTGGCAAAAAAACTGATTATATTATGACGGAAAATCCGAAAAACAACTTTTGCATCATCAAAATTTGCAAAAAATAGCAAAAAAATAGAGTTTTCATTTTTGAACGCAGTTCGATTGAAAATTTAATTACGAGCTCAGCGAGGTATTACATTTCATATTCAGACAATTATTTTGAAAGTTGTGGTCAAAAAACGGATTATTTTATGACGGAAAATCCGAAAAACAACTTTTGCATCATCAAAATTTGCAAAAAATAGCAAAAAAATAGAGTTTTCATTTTTGAACGCAGTTCGATCGGAAATTTAATTACGAGCTCAACGAGATATGACACTCCATAATTGGGCAATTATTTCAAAAGTTTTGGCAGAATACTGAATATTTAAACCAAGATCACAAGATAAAGTTACGCTTCCATTTGTATATTAAGTTTTTAATGACCGATGTACTGATTAAATAATTTCTGGTTACTCTCATCCCACAGATGTCAATTCAGAAGCTAAACGACACCACCAACTCGGGCTACGTGAGTTCCGAGGAGACGGACTCGCTGCTGGTGAGCAGCTCGAATCCATCGAAGGGCGGAGGTCGGACGGCACTGCTCCGCCAGGTGAAGAGTAGCTCCACCAATGGCCCAACGACGGGGGCGTCCACCTCGTCATCGGGATCGGTATCGGTGTCGGTATCGGGCGGCGGTGGATCCGGTTCCGGTGGCGGCTCAGCATCGGGCTCAGCTGCCGGGGCTTCCAAGCCAACGCTAATGCGGCAGGATCGCACTTCCACCTACCTAACCAGTCCGCAGCAGTCGCAGCATGCGAGGATGGGTTCCGAGGAGAGTATGAGAGGTGGCTGCGGAGCCACCGGACACGACGAGGATGTGGAACAGGGCCTGGTCCGCAGCAGCATAGTGCCTGATATCGAAGTACACGAAGAGGACCAAGAACAACACAGCCAACAGGGAAAATCAGCAACGATGACCAATAACCAACAGCAACTGCAACAGCAACAGCAACAGCAACTGCAACAGCAACCGACCATATCAATTATGAATTTAAGCCTCAAGCCCGGCGATAGTCACAGTCACAGCCACAGCCCCAGTCCGGGCAGTCATCCGAATCTGGGCACCTCATCATATCAGAATCTGGCCTCGAGCATACCGCCCAGCGTACCAAGTCGCTGCAGGGCGTGCCGCAATTGCAGTCGACGTGCTTCCACCACGCCCACCACGCTGATCGATCGCTCCGCCTCCCGCGACAGTGTGAAAAGTGCCTTCCAGCAGGGCAATCTCAGCGGCTCCATGGCCATTTGCATATCGAACTCGGCCCTGCCGCAACAGCAGCAGCAGCAGCAACAGTATCACCTGCAACAGCAGCACTATCAGTTGCAGCAGCATCATCTGCACCAGCAGCATCTGCAGCAGCAGCAGCAACAGCAGCAGCAGGTGCCGCCCGTGCTAATCACATCGTCGCCAACGAATGGATCGCGGATAATACGGCAAAGCTCCCAGCCCGAATCGAGCAGTACGGCCATTTGCTGTGGACCCCATTCCGCCTGCGTCGGCCACGCCCACTCGCACTCGCACACGGTACCAAATGTCTCGCTGAAGCAACTGCGCGAGAGCTCCGGCGATGGAATCGCGGGCATTGCAGCCGACTCCCTGCGGATCAATGGGGGCATGCGGCCCTTTAAGCAGGTGAGAATCAGTTGGTGTAACCCAACAGCCGATGCAAAATGAGAGCTCCATTTCCCCAGGGCAACCGACCCCGCATCCGACCCACACTCGAAAAAAAGTCAAAAATAAAATCATTCATTTGTATTTAAACTAATTGAACAACTGATTACAATTGGTCAATGGCATCGTTTTAAAGTGACCTGACTTGTAAAGTAAGCACGGGCATTCTTGTGCAGCTGGTCACACTAAAGCAATTCGCGTATCAGATTTACTTATTCAAAGGATGCTGCTTTTTTTCGAGTGCCCACGCCAGCCCTTGTACATAATTCATGTACATAAGCCATCTGCAATCGCCCAACTCATAAATGTCAAAGTGGACGCCACCCCAAAAGTACCCTTAGCGCTCTATGTATCATGTATAGTATCTCAACTCAGTATGTCCCCTCCCTATACATAAGTATATACCCATAAATTGGATGTTTTATGACCACCATCGCACTCGATGTTCTATGTTCATACCAACATTTTCCAGATCCTGCGTTGTACTAAATGTATAGTTGGGTTGATGGCTGGTCCAGATTTATGGCATCAAGTTAAATATTAAAACATAACAATTAAACCTGAAATGACCAGACATTTTAAAATGCTGTGCTAATAGAGCGATGAAGGAAAATGAACGAAAAATCAAAGATTAAAGATTATGTTAAATGGACTCTTGATTGCCAACATTTGGCTATAATTTATTGTATTTTTAAGCATAATACACTTTTATTACTCCAATTATAGAAACTATAAAGAGTTCGATACATTTCCTACATGTTAAACTAATCACCGCCAATAACTCATCTTCATAAACACAAGATGATTTTTATGTTCAGTTCGGATTACTTTACTTATGTTACAGATGTGTTCTAATAATCATAAAATGCTGGCGGTTTGTGATTTGCTTACTTTGTTGCTGTTGTTCTTTCGGTTTGTTTTCGTTGAATTTATATCTTTTCTTGTTTTGGCCATTTAACGTTTTTCGCGCGCTAAAATCCAATTAGTGAAAATCAATATTGCTCATACGCGGCGTTGGCTCAACAATTATTCTGTTCATTTGCCCGCTTGGCCACCTTCAATCTCATTTCTTTGCCCCATATATATGTACAGATATATATATATGTATATTTTCTCCCTCGCCTTCGGATTACTTTCGGTGGGCATAATTAAAAAATTTTGTTTACACGCCATTCGATCGAAGGGGAATAGAAAATGGAAAATGGAATACGGGGCCCTAGTAGGTGGGCCTAAGCACATTTAGCATTTTACCATTTAATGGAGAGAATCCGATAAACGCAATTAAGACATTTCTCTCCTGCAGTCTGCAAATAGATTATTCATGTGTCAATTGAATTGTTAAGTGCTACGGAATATACCATTTCTAGTCGCTCTATCTATATCTTTCATCTCCCTGTTATAATTAATATCAATTTACGCCAACGTGTCTGAACTTTTGCCGTCCATAAATATCTCGAAAAAAAAACATGAAAAAAAACTTCAAATATATACATATATCTATATATATATATAGAGGGGGGAAAAATGATATAGCTTCTTCCTTCATGCTGGCAGTGACCTTACCATGATTGATGAATTTTTTCACTCTTTGACATTTGCCGTCGCGTTTTCCTATTTTCTTCTGCGAGGACTACCGTTATCGCCCCCATACTCTATTTAATTTTCTTGTTTTTTTTTCCTTTTTTTTATCCAGTCTTTATAGATAATTGCGTTGGGTTCGCTGGCAGACACTTTCGGCAATAGTCAGGGGGATAAGAAGTGGTTAAAACATTTATGGAAGCTTCGGGGCAACAAAGCTTTTTGTTTTTCAAAAAACTAGCGGTAAAGATAGCGAAAGTAATGGTAAATCCCCCACATTTAACGGCAGCCCATGTAAATGGGCCAAAAGCTTTCAAGCCACATTTAACACGCGTATAAAAAAGACAACAAACAATTTGTATATGCAATTCCCCTGCGGTCATCTCTTTACATTTAAACCCCTCGCTTTCGAGAGCTTTTTCGCTTAGCTTTCCCCGCATAAGGGTTAAGTTGCAAGGCGAAAGCTTCAGTGTATTTCAAGTTTTCAATTGTCTTCGTTTTTCCGCTTTTCCATTTGCGTTGACCCCACCATTGTTGTTTGTATTGTTTTTAAAAGCTCTCTATTTAATTATGCAACATGCAATGAACTTTTCATCCATTCCGCACTCTTTTCTATACGTGTAAAATCCCCCAGGATCACACGCGTGTCGAGAAGGGCCGTTATTACTTGTCAGGCATATGGCCAACGTATATGATTACATTCTTGTTTTAAATACCCTTTGGTGCATCAATAATAGTATCGTACTTTATAATAGACTTTTCGACGTTTCACGAAATCATTACATCTCCATGCATTTCAAATATTTCATTACTTTCCTCGCCTATATGTATGGTATCTTTATAGTCGAACCTCCCCTAGTAAGTAAAACCATCTATGTAGTTTCGACTGTATCCTAACATTTATATACCTTAATCTAACCTTACGGACAGAGCGTTGCGAAACGAAATGGAGGCTTGAACTATATTATCTTATATTAGTTGAATAAACGAAATTAGCCTGCCACTTTCGTAACGCACTGTACGGCGCAGGACTCTCGACCGATCTATGTCTAATTTCTAGGTATTTTCAACCGCTTTAAACCAATCGGAACCCATTTCTTAATCTAAGTCCCCCACATTAAACGTACCCCAACTGGTAGTAGCCCTCCAATTCGAATGTAGCTTAGCTTAGTTAACTATCTAGGATAACTTAACAAATCTGTACTAATCGCTGTCGCATCAATCTCGCAATCTCTTCAGGGCGTTCTTCTAATGCCTCGCACCTTGTCCGAAAGCCGAAAGTTGCGCCTTCGAAGGGCCTTCACCGAGGCCACTAACGAAACACTCCAATGCTCCAAAATGGTATTTAACAAAAAACAAAACAAAAAATCTTAAAAAAATGTCAAACTACAAAACAAACCCATTTGCCGAAACTAATAATTTTGTTTTATGTGTACATAAATATTTAGAATGAACCAACGTAGTTCCAAAGTTCCAAAAACAAAACCAACAAAAACCCAATCAAAAAACCAAAAGTTCATTTTCAATGGCACCGCTCTGACCTTGCCGCCTTCCCAGCGGTCAAGTAGCTTGTTATCGATAACATAATGCATTCTGCTGCAAATGCTAAATGCCCCCCGTGCAATCGTTATGCGTTTGGCATTCGTTTCTTCCTAGTTTGCACTGCGTCAATGTCCATGTTCAATCTCCCCCCCTAGAAATCTCACAAAAAATGTCAAATGAAAAAAGAAAACATCAAAAATAAAAACAGCAATACAAAACTAAACTCAAAAATACCCGTTTCAAGACCGTTCTGAGCATTTTGGCCGCTTGTAGCGCAAGTTTACATTTCCGCATCCCATACGCTCGCATCCACTTCCAAATCTGCTTCAGCATCTTGTACGACTTTGCATCCGTTGTTGAATGTAGACCCGTAGTTGATATATCACCCATAATTAGCTATAATGTAACAAATATCGATGCTTTATCGAGCAGGTAAGCTGTAGTTGAAAATATTACGATTCCTTTTGCACCGATTGTAGTTATTTTGTGATGAACGCACTGATTGATTGCCGATATACTGATAATATGAACAATATGATGTATACATTTATGGGAAATTAAGTATTTAAGGTAATATATAGGGTATTTTTATAGTTTAGCATTTGTCATTCGTGGAAAGATGGAGGGGCGGCAGCAATTAAGTGCCGAGCGGAAGCATTTAATATTTCCCGCAGTAAAAGCTGCAACATTTTCATTTCCATGACGTCGACGCGATCAGGTGTTCCCCCTCAGTCACTTCTCCATTTTCTCGATTTTCCACCAGCGTGTATCTCACTCGTTGCTCTCTGAAGCAATCTCTCCCATCTGGGCCATCCACCTGCTGCCTTTTGTCCACTTGGCTTCCACCATCCACCATCCACAGTGGAAGCGTGCTGCTCGGAAAAAATGTGTGCCTCATTAGCGGTATTATCAGTGATCATAGGGTTTTTCTATTCGAAATAATGTACGATGTTTGTGCATTTTTGAAGATCGGAAAAAATCAATGGTAATGGGCATATCCCAGTCGATACATAAGTTTTGGCACATTAATGCTCTTTTTTGTTCCGATATATTGGCGGAACAAGAAGGCAGGAGCGCACCAGATTGTAGTATAAATAAAATTTTGGTGGGCAGGCCATTTGTGCGGCGTCTTCGATAGGGATCGCTCTCGATTTTGGGAACTTTGGGAGCAGCTCTCTGTACGTTTTCCAGATCGCTTGCGGATCGCATCAGATCGTATCGTATCGGATCGGATCGGTCAATATTATAATGGACGTGAACGGCTTGTGGAAATGCTGAATTGTGTCTGCTTCCCCGTTCTGTTTACATTCTGGACAATTACGCAGTCGAAAGTCGAAATTCGTTTGGCCAGAAATAATTTCCATTCCAATCAAAATCAAATCAAAACCTTTCGAATTTTCATCTGTGGCGGTTCGTGTACTTGTTTCAGCAAAGAGCGAATCCTTTTTGTTTTTGTTTTTGTTTTTCCTGTGTTACTGTGTGTGTTGGTTGACAATGCGATTCTGTGGCTGGAAAATTGTGATAAATTATGTGTTCCACGAAGAAAATGTATAAATCATTGTTTAAACAATGCGGTTTTAACCTGCAACCGGCAAGGTCTGGGAATTGCTAATTAAAATAAACATTGTACTTGTTTTCTTGAAAATCTTTTAATTATAATTTAAGCAACATGTTTGTGTGTGCGCCTGTAGATTTCTTGAAAACATAAACATTTGCTTTCTATTAGCAAAACAAAAACCAGGATTTTTTTGAAAGTGTTCTTAAGCGAACCTCAATATCCGGTTCTATAAATCAAATTCAAGCATACTTTTGCATCAAAGGATGTGAGCAAAGTTCAAGTA